GGTTATTTTAAATTTGGGGGCAGCTTGTCGAAGAGAACTTAGTGCACTATTCATTTATTAGTATTTTCTAGCATTCTTTACAAACCATTGTTGGAGGAAAGGGGTTTACTAACTTGGATTGCCTAATGCTTTTAAGGAGGACAACACTAATATGAAGAATGAAGTGAACAAAAGGAAACTTATATTTCTTAACTTTAAAACTCATACACTTGGCTTGTTACAAAATGGAGGACCTACCCCTTTATATAGTGTTTACATGAAACTTCCAATCCATACATTTTTCTAGAGATTCATAGCCCACATATTTACATGAGACTTTTAGCCCACACACTTGGACAAGATATTTTCCTAAAACACTCTAAATAGTCTATATAAGACCACATAATCTTCTTGACACGTTACCACATTTATCACCACATATTTTACTTAGATTTTTCTAGTAGACATTTACATATATTTTTCTAGAAATGCTAGTCATGTTGGACTTTTTAATTGATGAGCAAAATCCTTAAGCCCATATTATTTAATCAAAAAATCAAGTTTACGACTCAACATCCCCTCTAAAACTTGATTTTACTACTCCAAGTAGAGTTCTTAACTTGTGGAGCACATAATGCTTGAGTGGCTTAGTGATAATGTTGGCGATCTGCTCCTAAGAGGTTACATATTTCGACTGTATTTCTTTCTTTGTAATACTTTCTCTTATGAAGTGATATCTTGTATCAATATACTTGCTTCTATCATGGAATGCTAGGATATTTGCCAATGCCAATGGCAAACACTTGATGTAGGTACTACATATTCAACTTCACCTATAGATAGTGCTATGATCGATTGCCACTTTGAGCTCCAAGTGAAAACTATATCGCCCAAGTAAAACACGTACCCAGTCATACTCTTTCTATCATCACTATCCCCGCCCCAATCACTGTCACACTATATCCAACAAGTTTGAATTCATTAGAATCAAACGTACCTTTGATGTAGTGAAGAATCTTCTTTGCAGCTTTCATATGGGTCACGGTAGGTGTCCCCATATAGCAACTGATGAGCCCAACTCCAAAAAAAAATATCTGATCTTGTGCACATCAAGTATCTTAGAATTTCAACAAGACTCTTAAAAAGTGTTGGGTCTACTTTTTTACCTTCATCATTCTTTGACAACTTGGTTTCGCATTCAACGGGGATGCATACAGGCTTGCAATCCTCCATATTGAATTTCTTTAGAATTTCTTTCGCATACCATGCTTGTGAGATAAAGATGCAATCTTGCATTTGCTTTACCTTTATCTCAAGATATTAGGCTACTAGGCCGATATCCGTCATTTCGAATCCTTGAGCCATGGCCTTCTTAAACTCAGTGATCATACTTTGATTATTTCCTATGAATATAAGATCATCTACATGATTTCACGTCCATTTGAAATATCTTCCACTTATTTTGGGTTGCAAGAGAGCTAATTAATCTTATGGTTTCTAAACGAGCAATAGGAGCAAAATGCCTCTTCATAATCAATTCCCGACCATTGGTTTTATCCGTTAGCAACCAATCTTGATTTATATCTCTCCACTTCTCTTTTAGCATTTTCTTTGCCTTGTATACTCACTTAACTCCAATTGCTCTCTTTTCTTTGGGAAGATTCGTCAGCTCCCACGTGTCATTTTTCTCAATAACCTTAATCTCTTTATCCATGACATCTCTCTATATTTTATTTTGCACCACTTCTTCATACCCTATTGCCCCGCAATCGACAAAAAGGAAAAAAAAAGTGTGAGATCATTTTGATTTTCTATTACCTCATATAGCTCTTGTAGGCTCTTCATTCGTGGTGTCCTATCGCTTGAGCTTTCTCCATGTGAAGATGATAGGGAAGCATCTCCATGAGTAGGTGATAGAGGTGGACTGATAAGCTCTTGCTGCTTTCCATTCTCTTGTTCTTCTTCCTCAAAGAATGGTAAGAAGTCATAGTCTTCTTTTTGGACGCCCCAATCCCAAGCTCATTCTTCATCAAACTTGACATCTCTACTTATGGTGGTGATCTCCTTGCTTGGATTACAACTTGTAGTTTTAGAGCGAGAGTCATAGCCAATAAAGACATACCATTCACTCTTGTCATCTAACTTGGATTGCTTTTGATTTGGTACATGAGCATGTGCAATACTCCCAATACTAGTAGGTGAGAGAAGTTGGGCTTTCTTCCACTCCATGCTTCTTGTGGTGCCTTATTTCACAAACTTCTAGAGGGCAATTGATTAGACAAATAAACAGCACAATTAACAGCTTGGGCCCAAAGTTCTTTGGGCAATCTCTTACTTTTGAGCATGTAGCGGGCCATGGTAAGAATGGATCTATTATTTCTCTCGGCTATTCCATTTTGTAGTGCAGAGTATGGAATCGTCAATGGGCGACGAATTCCATTCTCCTCACAATATTTCTCAAACTCTTTGGAGGTAAATTTTCTTCCTCTACCGATCTCATGGCTTTTATGCTATAGATATTTTCTTTTTCAACAATAGCTTGAAACCTTTTAAAAGTTCTAAAACTCACAATTTTTGTTTGAGAAAATAGACCCAAGTCTTTCTACTAAAATCATCAATAAAAAGAACAAAGTAAATTTTCCTTACCAAGAAAGCTTGGATTGATTGACCCACAAACATCTGAGTGTACAAGTTCTAGCGGCTTCTTAGCCTTTGTAGATGCTTCTTTTGAAAAGCTTTTTCTTGAATGCTTGCCAAGTGAGTATCCTTCACATAATTGATCCGCATTATTTATTAGAGGCAAACCTCTCACCATCTTTTTTTTACTCAACAACTTTAAGTTACCAAAATTAAGATGCCCAAATCTCGAGTTCCAAAGCCAAGATGAATCTTTAAAACAAGCTTTTAAGAATTTAGCAACATCATTTTAAATGCTTAATGCTAACATTCTATTTCTTGTTATAGGGACTTTGGCAATCAAATTTTTTCTTTGATCTCTTATTGAAAGACTCTGATCTTTCAAATGAATATAATAGCCCTTCTCTAAGAATTGTGCCAAGCATAAAATGTTATTCTTCATATTGGGCACATAATAGACATTTGAGATAAATTGATGTGTACCGTTCTTCGTACGGATCACGATTTTATCTTTTCCTTTCACTGGGATCTTAGATTCATCTCCAAATGAAATGTTGCCACTTACTAATTCATTAAACTCCACGAACATGTTTTTTCTTCCACACATATGACAGTTTGCTCCTGTATCCAAATACAAAGTGTTCTTTTCTCTGCTTTCTTCACCTTTGTAAGCCAACAGTAGTAAAGGATCTACTTCACTTTCTTAACTAGTATAGTTGGCTTTCTCCTCAACTTGGTTAGTAATATTTCTACATTCTGAAGCATAATGACCAAGTTTTTGACAATTGTAATATTTAATTTGAGATTTGTCATACCTTGGCCCTTCATTTTGCCTTGTACCTTTTCCTCTTCAACGACCTCTGGTGGAAAATGAGCTTTATCTTTTTTCCTCCTTGTAGAATGTACTTCTTCCTTGATCTTGGCCTCATCTTCTTCCTCTTTGGCTTCTTCAATTGCCGAACCTTCTTTCGTCCTTGTTCAAAGTGAGCTTTGTTTGAAGAGCTTGCTCTAATGGCTCTTCTTTCACTTTCTTCTTTAATCTTTCCTTATGGGCTTGTAAAGATCCCATGAGTTGATCGATACTCCTACTATTTAGATCTTTAGATTTCTCAATAGCTACTACTATGTAGTCAAATTTAGAATCTAAAGACTAAGTATCTTCTCAATTACTCGAGTATCGTTCAACTTTTCTCCATTTCTCTTTAATTGATTCACAATGGCCAATACTCTAGAGAAGTAATCAGAAATTGATTCCGATTCTTTCATATGTAAAGCTTCAAACTCACCTCGAAGTGTTTGAAGTTGAACCTTTTTAACATTATCAACTCCTTTGTGAGAGTTTTACAAGATTTCGTATGCTTCCTTACTCGTAGTAGCACAAGCTACTTTCTTGAACATGCCTTCATCTAAGGCTTGATAGATGAGGGTGGGCGTCTTCTTGTCCTTCTTCCTTACATCTTTCGAACTATCCCTTTGTGCCTAGGATAGAGCGACCTCATCTTGTGGCTCCATGTAGCCTTTCTCTACGATCTCCCATGCGTCTTGTGACCTGAGCAACACCTTCATCCTTATGTTCCAATTGTCGTAGTTATCCTTGTTGAGTTGGGGAACTTGAAAAAGAATCATCCCACTTGCCATTTTTCACAAGAACCTTAGGGCTCTAATACCAGTTTGTTGGAGGAAATAGGGGTTTACTAACTTGGATTGGCTAAGGCTTTTAAAGAAGACTAGGAAGAAGGAAGTGAGCAACAGGAAACTTGTATTTCTCAACTTCAAAACTCACACACTTAGCTTGCTACAAAATGGAGGACCTTAACCCATTTTATAGTGTTTACATGAAACTTCTAGTCCACACATTTTTCTAGAGACTCCTAGAACACATATTTACCTGAGACTTTTAGACCACACATTTGGACAAGATATTTTTCTAGAATACTCTAGATAGAATTTATAAGACCACATAATCTTCTTGACACATTACCACATTTATCATCACATATTTTACTAAGATTTTTCTAGTAGATATTTACATAGACTTTTCGAGAAATGCTAGGCATGTTGGACTTTTTAATTGATAAGCCAATGAGCAAAATCTTTACTACTCAACAACCATTTCATTAGCTTCCTAGAGACATCTAGTTTTTGAAGCACGTGCTTAAGTGGGAAATTTGTAAGTACATTTATTTTGTGAGCTTAAAGTAGCTTTATAGAAAAGGTAGAAAGAGATAGACCAAGATTCTGTGTATTGGAGTAGCTGACTAGCTGGTCTTGTATTGTAGATTACCTTGCTCATTTAATAAATGGAAAATTATTTATTGCCATCTTCTTGCATAGGAAAATAGATGAAGGCCTCTTCTGATAACTAATTGTCACAATGAGCATTCTCTAGCTTCAGACTAGACAAGAATTAAGCTAGCCAATGTGGCTCTTTAGAGCTTGGAAGGCCTCTTCATATTCGACCATCCATTGAAAACCTCTCCACTTTTAAGAACTTTAAAGAATGAAAGGCATTTATCAGTAGCTTTAGTGAAGAAACAACTTAGGATTACCTTATGAGAGTAGAGGCCTTTATCTATGGTATATAGGGTATGTTCCATTCAAAGTGTAATAAAAATTTGATTGTTGCTAGAATAGACATCCATAAAGCTAAGTGGCTCGTACACCATAGTTGTATAGCTAGTTGGTCAGTCCTAGTAAAATTAAAGTTGTCTTTCGGGCATGCTTGATTTAGAATGGAGAAGTCAATGCTGGCCCTCCATTCACCTTTTTGATTCAGCACTAAGATTGGGATTGAAATCTATTTGGGGGGTATGAGTCCTCTCTAATGAAGCTATCAGCCACAAGTTTGTTGTCTTATTCGTTCAATGACTTGGTACAGTTTTGGGTTGAAAGGCTTCTCTTTTGCCTAATGGTCAAAATTTGGGGGTAGATCTTGAGAGAATAGAAACTAAATTTTGGATCTATACCAACCATATATTCCCGTTTCTATGCATTAACGTCCAAGTATCGATATAAGAACACGTTGCGAGCAACCTTCACATTGTTTGGCAGGTAATTCTTTCCAATCGAGAGCACCCTTCCACATTCTTTGATATGTGGGAATAGTACACTCCCTTTGCATCTTTTTTCCGTGAAAGAGATAGGTATAAGTTTTATACCCAAAGTCCAATCAACTTTGGACATAAACACTTTTAATATATAGTTTATGCATTTTAGTTACGGCAGATCTGGTATTTAATTTAATTAATATTCTAATAAATTAAATAGTAGAATCTGTAAATTCAAGTTTTGGTAATCTATTAACCACAAAGAGTTTTCGTTGTAAGATACAAATTATATATGACCGAATCTCAAATCATCCATGGTCATAAGTACTAATGAGATATGGATAGTATTGTTACGAATATACCATCACGTGTGATATAACTTACTTATGAAGTAAGTGACTGATCTCACAATTTCAAATATGATGACACTTAAATGAACAAGTGGATATTTTGTTATAGAACAAAATATTGGAGACCCCCTGGGAAGATTTCACATAGATAATTCTCTAAGTGTCTGAAGTTAATCTCTGACATTCGGTAGTAGAATTGGTCATTTGACTTGAGGTCATCATAGTGCCTTATATGAGGACGGTCATACTTTGATGATGTTAG